TGGAAAAATCCAAAAACCCTGAAACACGTCAATTTTTATTTTTGCTTAATAGCTGTAATTTAAATTTTCATGTTTCTAACTTTAAAGAATAAAGAGTTTCATTAAAAGCTCCCTCCCCCCATTTCCTCCAATTTCCCCCCTTTAAAGTTAAAATTTCCTAAAATCCTTTCTTAGCGGATGCTTACGTTATAAAATAAACCCATGTTCCAAATTTCAGCTTTCTAGGCTCAGTAGTTTTGGCTGTAGGTTGATAGGTCAGTCAGTCAATCAGTCAGTCAGTCAGGACAAACAATTTTATATATATATATAGATATCTGTTATTTATGTTTGAAGAAAAAAATTGTTCAAATAAAAGTTATTTCTAATATTATTATCTATAATTTTTGCTTAATGTCAAAATTTCCTGAAATGGTCCGTATTCGAGAAATTTGACAAAATGTGCAAAATTCTGATTTTTATGAAAGTTGTTGAAATAAAAGTTGTTTGCGATATCGATCTCTATAATTTTTGTTTATACATTATTTTTCTAAAATGGACCGTAATGGAAAAATTGTAGGAAAAGTGATAAATTTAAATTTTTCAGTATTTTAATTTTCAATGAATATCCATAGAAAAATGTTTCGAGGTAGATGTATGTGGAAAATGTATATATTTATTTTATCCTCTAAACATTTATGGAAGTGCTGCAATAGGTTGTACAAAATAACCGGAAAAAGCATGTAATAACTAGATAGGAAAGTCATGTGTTGGACACATCAGATTTTTTCTTTTTTCTTTGTCTTCTTCATTAGTTGAATGTGCTCAGTTTTTCCCCATCTCTATCTACTTAGTGCCAGGTCCCAGAGTCTTCTTTTTCTTAGTCATGTGTCATGTCAAAATTTGTAGAAACATAAAACAAATTGCGGTTACAATATCTGGTTTTGTTTTTGAATTATTTTTTGCATTTATTTTTAAAATACTAGCTTAGAAACACAAAGAAAATGATGAAAAGTAAAGTTAAAAGGTAGGTGTGCACCTTTTGTTTACTACTTTAAATTTCAAAGTGAATAGATGTATTTATTATTGTTTTTATGTATTATTATGTTCTGTTGTTACATACATATTTAAAAAAAAAACCCAAGTGTGTACCTCTTTTTAATTTGTTAATTGCCTTAGTAGATGCTGGTCACTGTCAACAAAAATACTGAAAAAATTCAAACTCTTTTGTTGGGTAATGCAGCCGACACCCATTAAAAAAGGTTTTAATTACCAAAAATCAGCCATAGAGACCTAACGCGCGCTTAGCAAGCCATGTAGATCTAGATTCCAGATCTTGGCGATAGTGAGAGTTAAAACTGAGCCCATACAACTAAAGAAGGCAAGAAAAAAAAAAGAAGAAATTTATGCTGACGTCGCCGTAACTTTAGACAGATTGCCAAAATAATAATTTACAGTTTTCTTTTTATTTTATTAGTTGTTATGTAAACTTATAGATGGCGCAAAGATCTTCGAATGACCTTGCAACTTCAAGATGTCTTCCGTTGAAATCATCTATTGTCCCTGTATTATCAAAATATTGGTGGTATGTGAACTAGAACCAAGGAATTTGTTACTGCTCTGTCTACTTGTGATTTCGATGTCATTGTTTTGGTTGAAACTTGGCTGTGTATTGGAATTGAGGACGCAGAGTTGGGGTTTGCCGACTACTCGTTATACAGATGCGATCGCGATACAGAACTGACAGATAAATATAGAGGAGGAGGAATCTTAATTGCCGTTAAAAATAACAATGATTCTGTGAAGTTGAAACTCCCCATTGGTGCAGTTTATTGTGAACAAATTTGTGTCTCGATTCAAAATGAATGTTGCATTTGTGCCGTGTATATCCCACCTTCTGCCCCTCTGTGGATGTGTATGAGTATCATGGTCAAACTGTTGAACATATTTGTGAAAGTTATGATGACAAGAATATATATTTTGTCGGCGATTACAATCTTCCGGAAGTTGTTTGGCTAAATAAAATTGATGGTGTTATAGCCAGTAATGGAGGTCCAAGAGCACAAGCGTTAATTGAGTACTTAGCGCTCAGCAACATGTATCAATTAAATGAAATCCACAATGGTAACAACAGAGTTTTAGATTTAGTTTTTAGTAATGTACTTAGATATTGTGTGTCTCTATCTGATTATTTTCTATTGAAACCTAGTTTACACCATCCACCCCTTGAGTTGTCTTTGTCTTTAAACTTTAATGAAGGTGGTAATGTGAATGAGAATGTTTATGATTTTAACTTGGCTGACTATGAAAGCCTAAATGATGTTTTTATTAATATTAACTGGGATCAGTATTTTATTCACAATGATGTTAATAGTTGTGTATCCATTTTCTATGACATTGTTTATAGTAATTTAGAATTATTTGTACCTAAGAAAAAAATTAATTAAAATAACAAATTTCCCATTTGGTTTACAACTGAAATAAAAAACTTGATATCGAAAAAAAAAGCAGGTCATTTGAGATATAAAAAAAGCAATTCTAATCACCATTATAATAAGTATAAAAATTTAAGATCGCGCTGTAAATTATTGTCAAAAGAATGTTATCAATCATATGTTAAGGATACCGAAATGTTGATTAATTTTAGCTCCAAACCTTTTTGGAAGTTTGTGAACTCTAAACGTCATAATTGTGATATGCCTAGTACAATGAGATTAGAAGATAATGTTTTTACTGAAAATCAGTCAACTGTAAACGCTTTTGCTAAATATTTTTGTTCAGTTTACAGTTTTGATCAGAATGACACTGACAATTTTAAATGTGCTGATAATGATTTTATTAATGTTAATAATTTTACTATAAATATAACCGATGTGTTAGGGTGTTTAAATTCACTTGATACTGGGAAGAGTCCCGGACCAGATCAGATTACAAATCAGTTTTTGAAGCAGTGTGCCTTTGCTATGGCAAGAACTCTATGGCTTCTGTCCAATAAATCGCTAACTGAAGGCGTTTTTCCCATCAAGTGGAAAACATCATTTGTTAAACCTTTGTTGAAGTCTGGAGATCCTTCGCTTTTTACTAATTACAGATCGATTATCAGTTTATCGTCAATTCCTAAAGTTTTCGAGAGTATTGTTAATGACCAACTAAGTGAAAAGCTTTCAAATGTGATTAGTAGCAAACAGCATGGCTTTCACGTTAGCAGATCAACTACGACCAATTTGATGCTCTTCACTGAGTATGTTGCTACTGCTGTAGAAGATAGTCTTCAAGTAGATGCAATTTATACAGATTTGACGAAAGCTTTTGATCGAGTTGACCACAAGGGTAAATTGTATGCTCTAGGAATTTATGGACAGGCTTTGAACTGGCTAATTTCTTATTTTACAGATCGTGTTTGTCGTGTCAAAATTAAAAATGCCATTTCTAGTGAATATGCGGCGATATCAGGGGTCCCTCAGGGATCCCATTTGGACCCATTGTTATTTAGCATTTACATTAATGATGTGGTGAAACAATTAAATGATACTGAAGTTTTAATGTATGCTGATGATATCAAATTGTATAATATCGTTAAAGATCCCTCTGATTGTCTCATACTGCAGAAAAAGTTAGACAGTTTGAACGAATACTGCTTTTTGCATGGATTATTAATTAATCCCTTAAAATGTAAGGCAGTGTCTTTTTATAAGGGGCTTAATATAAACCTAATTAATCACACTTATGACTTGCATGGAAATCGTATTAATAAAGTTAACAGTATAAAAGATCTTGGGGTTATATTTCAATCTAATCTGTCTTTTTCTCAGCATGTTGATTATGTTGCTGGGAAAGCCTTAAAACAGTTAGGATTCGTGAGAAGGCACTCGGCCGACTGTGAATTTGCATACAATTAAAATCATATTTTATTCGCTCATAAGGTCACATTTGGCATATTGTTCTGTCATTTGGTCACCATATGCGCAAATTCATATTGAAAAGCTTGAAAGAGTACAGCGTAGATTTTTAATGTATTGTTCTTTTAAATTGTCACTACCGTACTCTTATACAAATATGCTTGCCACAACAAATAATGAAACGTTAGCTTCCCGAAGAGAATTTATTGATTTTCTATTTATCTCTAAACTTGTAAATAACCTTGTTGATTCTCCTGAACTCTTGCAAAGTGTAGATTTTTATATCCCACCTAGGTTGTTGCATGGTAGCTCCACATTTGCTTTGAAAGCTCATAGAACTAACTATGGCTCAGGAATTGGTATGGCCAGACTTCTGAGAAATGCTAATACATTTGCAGCAAAACAGAATATTGATATTTTTAACTCTTCCATGTATCAAGTGAAAAGAGTGGAAAATGTGTTAGGTCTACATAGTATTTTAATATTTATGTATATTTTTTATACTATAAACTTATGTATTTTGTAAATGGTTTAAACCGTATAAATAAATAAATTATTTGAATAGGGTATTCTATCAATCATTTAAGGGGGCATTTTTTGTTGCCCTCTCTGTTGAGATATTTAAGTCTGAAAATGGTAAGAAAATATTTTTTTATTTTCTTGAAAATGGTAAAGACTTAGAAATTGTAACTTTGGTATGCATTATCTTTTAGTCGATCCCTATTTTGTAAAGGTGACTCTTCTTTCAGTTCATGTTTTTAAAGGGTAGAAATTACTCGAAAAATTGGCAACGTCTCTTTCTATTTTTTTTTAGAACTTTTTTCATTAAAAGCCAATCATATCAAAGTACTACACATAATTTTGAAACTTTTTCATTCTTGTAATTTTTTCGTACATTCAACAGTTTACAAAAAAAAAAATTTTAATGTTTAAAAAAGTGCCCAAATTGCAAAATAATATAAGAAAACTCCTTCTTAAATGATTGGTATACCACCCTATTCAAATATTGGAACATTGTGGAACACCCTTTAGAATACTGTTCCGAGAATGGTTCCTCAAAGACAATTTTATAGAAAATTAAACACTAGATTTCAATATTTTTTCAAAATATGATTCTATACTTACTGTAACTGTCTTATCAGCTCTAAGTGCAGCTTCACTCAAAAGAAGTTTATGGGCCAAATGTAATCTGTCAAAAGTTCCTCCCAGAACTGTATGATTGACTTTTGTATCACTTAAGATAATTTCCTTTTCCTCTTCTTGAAATTCCTCACAGTTTAATGTAATAATATTGTATTCTTTGGCTAGATTTTGGAGCCTCATATTAATAAAACAGTCTATTTCACTGCTTGAATAGGGTTTATCAAAAATTATTAAATCTATGGGTTTTTGAGTTTGAATTTTTGGTATGTTGTACTTTAAACCAGAAAGCAAAACCCTTACATCTAAGTCATTGCAATTTGTTGCTGCCTGAAAAATAAATTCCTAGCATGATATAGTTCTTTTCGTTTTTACCTCTATTAAGTAATCTTAGGAGCAAACGAGAGTTCTCGAAAAAGCAAAAATGTTTTAAGGATTCTCTAATATAAAATTGTATTTATAAATGAATCACAAGGAATACTTTGCAATATTATGTTTCTCGAGAATATAGAGCTTTAAATTTGTGCAACGATAAAGGCAGCACTCTACAGAGACGTTTAACAAAAAAAGGTGAAAACTACTATTTATTAAAACAAACGGCAGCAAAAATTTTCATAGATTTAATACAAAATGGCACGTAAATGTTGTTTTTTAAAAGATCTTTTAAAAAATTTCAAAATAAATACTTTTGGTAGGTTTACAAAAAAAACAAGGTTTCTCCACCCTTAGGGGCCTATTCAGTAACTCTGAACGACGTCGTTAATAGATGATATTCTTTCACATACAACTTTTCTTATTCAGTAGACAACAGAGCTATCGTTAATATTATGAAGTGTCGTTATAGCGACTTATCCACCCAATTTTGTTTTAAATTACCTATTAGAGGGTTTCATAGAGAGCCAGGATTGTTTTCACTAGTAATACCACTAGAGGTCAAAAAATTTCCTGATATTAATTTGACCTCGCGTGGTATTCGGTAAGAAAATTCCACGCCGAATTATGGATGAAAATTAAATATTTTTAAAATTAATTTTTCGTTTCTCAACAATGCAAATTATTTTCTCCAAGTCACCAGTGAAACATAAAAGGTGTTGTCGCCTTGATTGTTGAGTTGTCATGGTAACTAAGTGAGACCCTAACCTCGAATATAATTTCAGTTTTGAAGTTGTCAAGCGGCCCCGACGTAAAAAAATGTTTCGCTGCAATTATTTAGGCCTTCAAATTGCTTATTTCTACTCATTGTAGTTGCATGGGAATACCATTTGAAAATAGAAAATAGTATATTCTTTAATTTTACGTAAGTTTTGAATAACTACAAGTGGTAGAAAATTGTTTTTCTGCGTTTTTATTAACATGCGTTATGAGCGCTTTAAAATGGTATGAAATATCATAACCAGCGTCAGCAAGCATCAATCGTAGGAGGCTGTGATCATTGTAATTTTGACAGTTCAAAACATTAAATAACTCGCGTTTTGTTGCGATAAAGAATATTGCACAGCAAGTAAAACCAACAAAATTACCTATTTGTTTAAAAATGAATCGATTTGAAAATCATACGCTATGCAAAATATGCGTGAAATTGTCTGATGTAATGATCAATCATTGCACCATGACTTGCTTACTCGGATTAATAGAGGATTGTGGCTCCAACTTGAAAAACGAAAATTTGTTCCGAATTGTCCACGAATATTTGCACCTAAACTACGCAAAATTCAAAGTGCTGAATGGGAAAAAGTGTGAATAAATTAGTGTCTAAATATTATATATATTTTATTAGACATAGACACATAAGTCAAAGCATCCAAAGTCCTGCCATTTTCGCCATTAAGAAGAAAAGAAGTGGCCGAAGAATATAGAAAACACCTTAGCATTGTAACTAAAATGTATCAAAACTAAACCTATTATGTGAACAAATAAAAACCAGTTTGTCAAAAATGGTCTGTTATTGTAAACGTCCAAAAAATTTCCAGTATAATTCGCTGTTGGGTACCCCCACGAGAGAAAAAATTTCCACTAAAATGCCTCCGTTGCCATGGTGATCTGTCAAAAACACGTATTTTGATTGGTTCAAAATTACAGGTGTGGAATTTTCTAAATAATAAAAGGTCCTTATTTGTCATAAACTTTACAACTAAATGGCCATCGACCTAGTACAGCAAGTACAATTTGTAAGGGAATTTTTTCTAATTTATTTAAAAATAAATTCTGATTCACAGATAGGATTGCCCGAGGGGCGAATCACTCCCGCAATACATGTACATAATGTCCGAAATCCCATTGAAAATCCTGCAGTCCCATCAAAATCAGCGGCAATCGCTAAGAAATCGTCGCAGTCGTTCAGAATTCCCCTCGCAGTCTCCCGAAATCTCCCTCGGTCGCCGAGCAATCATTAAAAATCGCGCGCAGTCAGTTGACATTTCACCAATTCGCCTTTGTTCTTTGACTAGGCCAACTAAGCCATTTTGTGTAAAATTAAACAAATTGCATTTACGTTTATCGAAAGTGTCGTTCCATCAATTATTATTAATTTTAAAATGCTATTTTTGGCAAAGTTCATCAAATTTCTGATTTGATCTGATAGAAGATAGTTCCAAGGTGGTCCAGAATTGTCTCTATTTTACCTGATTTTTTTTAATGCATAATACAATTGTTTGTACTTTATTATAGGGGGTCATACAAGTTTTAATTAGGGTTTTTAAATGTATTATTATTTAAAAAGGAATTAATTTATTGACAGAATACATTTTTTACTTTCCTGTCTATATACAGATAAGGGAAAGTATAGGAATCATGACTTTTTTTTCGACGGATTTTTACGTTTTGGGATTCCCTAAATCCGTTTTGACTATTTTCGCGATGATGTATGTGTGTGTCTGTGTACTCAATAACTCATGAACGGATAAAGAGAAAAACACTAAATATTAAACTTAAGCTTTGATTAATCCTCTCATAATGAGTGAATTACATTTAGGCATAGTAGGAAAATATGGAGGGGGTTACTTTATAGGGGTCGTTTTTCTACTACGAATATTTGTTATTTACGCTTAGAGTGAAAATTCTTTAAATTAAAGTTGCTTGTGTTGCTCTATAATTTTTATCCTATAAGTAAATAATTTTCCTAAAATTGTTCGTATTCAATTTTTTTTACAAAAAGAGCATATTTAGAATTTTTAAGAAAATTCCACACCTGTAATTTTGAACCAATCAAAATACGTGTTTTTGACAGATCACCATGGCAACGGAGGTATTTTAGTGGAAATTTTTTTCTCGTGGGGTACCCAACAGCGAATTATACTGGAAATTTTTTGACGTTTACAATAACAGACCATTTTTGACAGACTGGTTTTTATTTGTTCACATAATAGGTTTAGTTTTGATACATTTTAGTTACAATGCTAAGGTGTTTTCTATATTCTTCGGTCACTTCTTTTCTTCTTAATGGCGAAAATGCAGGACTTTGGATGCTTTGAATTATGTGTCTATGTCTAATAAAATATATATAATATTTAGACACTAATTTATTCACCCTTTTCCCATTCAGCACTTTGAATTTTGCGTAGTTTAGGTGCAAATATTCGTGGACAATTCGGAACAAATTTTCGTTTTTCAAGTTGGAGCCACAATCCTCTATTAATCCGAGTAAGTAAGTCATGGTGCAATGATTGATCATTACATCAGACAATTTCACGCATATTTTGCATAGCGTATGATTTTCAAATCGATTCATTTTTAAACAAATAGGTAATTTTGTTGGTTTTACTTGCTGTGCAATATTCTTTATCGCAACAAAACGAGAGTTATTTAATGTTTTGAACTGTCAAAATACAATGATCACAGCCTCCTACGATTGATGCTTGCTGACGCTGGTTATGAATTTCATACCATTTTAAAGCGCTCATAACGCATGTTAATAAAAACGCAGAAAAACAATTTTCTACCACTTGTAGTTATTCAAAACTTACGTAAAATTAAAGAATATACTATTTTCGATTTTCAAATGGTATTCCCATGCAACTACAATGAGTAGAAATAAGCAATTTGAAGGCCTAAATAATTGCAGCGAAACATTTTTTTACGTCGGGCCGCTTGACAACTTCAAAACTGAAATTATATTCGAGGTTAGGGCACAGAATGTTAGGGTCTCACTTAGTTACCATGACAACTCAACAATCAAGGCGACAACACCTTTTATGTTTCACTGGTGACTTGGAGAAAATAATTTGCATTGTTGAGAAACGAAAAATAAATTTTAAAAATATTTAATTTTCAACCATAATTCGGCGTGGAATTTTCTTACCGAATACCACGCGAGGTCAAATTAATATCAGGAAATTTTTTGACCTCTAGTGGTATTACTAGTGAAAATTATTCAAATAAAAGTTGCTTGTGATGTCTTTCTCTATAATTTTTTGTCCTATACATGATTTGTACCGTATTCGAGATATTTGAGGAAAAGTGAAAATTTCGAATATGGTGAAAACTCAAAAACAGTTTAAAGAGAAAAACATAAAATTTTAAACTTAACTCTCTAATGAGCTGATTCGTTTTTGGGCATAGTCAGAGCACTTTGTAAAGGGTCGTTTTTCTGCTTAATAGAATTATTTAGTATAGATGCAAGTAGCTGTTACCCAATGAGTTTCTTAGCGAGGTCCAACGTAGAGGACTGTACTAAATTAAGTTCATTAGATATTAAGGTTTGCTTTGTTTTTAAATTTATTGTTGTTACTTAACTCTACAATACTATTAATTTTTTATAGGGTTTGTAAAGTATCCAATAAATAAATAAATGTATGTTATTTACACTTGAAGAGGAAAATTCTTCAATTAAAAGTTGCTTGCGATATTTTTCTCTATAATTTTTATCCTATACATTATTTTCCAAAAATAGTCCATATTCGAGAAATTTTACAAAAAGTACAAAATTCGATTTTTTAAGAAAATTATTTAAATAAAAGTTGCTGGTGATTCTCTATAATTTTTGTCCCATACATGATTTTCCTAAAATGGACCGTATTCAATATATTTGAGGAAATTGCAAATTTTGAATTTGAAAATTACTCAAAAACGGATAAAGAGAGAAACATAAAATTTAATAAATCCTGCAGTGAGCTGATTAAGTTTTGGGCATAGTCGAAGCTCTGGGGGAGGGGGGTACTTTTTAGGGTGTCATTTTTTTTTACTTTAATTAATACTATCTCTGTTATTTACGATTGGTGAAAAAAATTCTTCAAATAAAAGTTGTTTGCAATATCATTCTCTAAAATTTTTGTTTTATACATGATATATCTTTAAAATGGACCGTAATAAAAAAATTTGACAGAAAGGGTAAA